ATGAAATCTAAATTTTAAGAAAAGATGAACACCACAGGACAAGCACGTTCCATTATTACGCCCTAAAGTACAATCTAAAACGACGCAAAATCCAATCCACAGTCTCCACGACATCCATTTTAAGCCAGAAAGCGTGCACCTCATTTAAGTAACATGGAACGTTATTTCCAGGACCCTATTCACATTAAGGCAATGTATTTACAATTTAGATGGCGGAGAATCGCCTCCAGCAAACACCGATGCATTGCAAGGTGGAGAAGCAGCTACACCTCCTGGTAACTTTGACTTCCCTTATGAAATTAAAATCCACCAATCAGATGCTCCTTCTGACTTAACATTGAAACATTTTGTTGGGGCTTCCCCAGAGCTACGATGATCATCTCATTGCCCTTTTTTTTAAAGACGATCAGCCCACTACAAATGCCGATGCATCTCCAGCAGGTGTGGATACACCTCAACCAGTTCGTGGTAAATTTGGCCTTCTTGACGAAACCTCATCCTTATCAGTGGAGGCACATGCCATAGTAGAGGAGGTTCTTTATCTGTCCCGTAAATAAGATATTACCTGTTCTCATTTATCAAGCCTGCATTCACTCCATCAGATACAGTGTTCACCTTAGCACTAACCATGATTGCCACCTCATTGTTCTTTTATGAAAGTTGAACAACATGCAACCACCGCCGATGGTTCTCAACCCCTTGAGGAAGCACCGAATCTTGCTGCAGGTAAAGATGGCTTCCCCGATGAAGTCTAGTTCTAGTTCAAGTTTTTAGTCAAAGTCATAGTTAATATTTTGTTGTGTATTTATTTTAGCAGAACAGTTTGTGACACCTGCAGACGCATGTCCACCACATGAGGAAAGCTTTCATCTAACTATGGGTAATTTAGCCCCTTTGGGGAAGCCTCTGTCTTGCCTTTGGTGATATGCATCACGTTTGGGTGAAAAAATGCAGTCCTGTTTTTTTACCTCTTACCGTTAGTTTATAAAGAATGGGCTAAATTTTGTCTTTATCTCACTGTCCTTTTTTAAGATGAACAGTACGCTTCACCTGGGGATCCGTGTTCATCGCATGGGGAAACAATAAATCTATTTAGAGGTAAATACACAACTTTTGAGGCGTCTTTTGTAAAATGATTGCTGCCTGATAATCACATGGCTATTCTATTAATTGCTATGTCGACATTAGTTTAAAAGTCACAGGATTTGGTTTAAGTGCCACGTCTTTGTTTTTTATGCTTTAGTTGAGCAGCATGCATCAACCGCGGACGCATTTCCACTACAAGAGGAAGCACCGAATTTAGTGATAGGTAATGGCAGTGTTTTGAAGCGCATCAACTTCTCACTCCTTGGAGCATTTTAACAGCACATCTCAGTAGTTATGATGTTTATCCTGCCACAGCAGTCTTTCATGATGGCTTCAACGTAGCCATGATAATTGCTTATTTGTCCTTTTTATGAAGATGAACTGTATGCATCAACAGGAAACACTTGTTCACCGCGAGCAGAAGCACTAGACCTCATTCTTGGTAATGTTGATTGTTCTGGACAGAAATGAATAGAGCAATGTCTTTTTCAAAACTGCCTTTACCTACCTATATTATGCCAGACTTTGTAGCAGATGTTGCCTTTTTACTTTTAGATGAACAACAAGCGTCAGCTTCATTCACAGCTCCACCAGATGATGAAGTGTTGGAAACACCCTGGGGTAAAGTTAGCCTGTTGCGTGCAACCTACTTTATAGTCTCCCATTTTAATGGTATTAACCTCAGTGACTTCCTTAGCACTGATTCCTTAGATTTAAGCCATCCTTCAATCACAATAATGATAAAATTGCGCATTTATTCCAGAGGCTCCGCATCCTCCTCTACAACAGGACTATGAAGCGGTTGTCAATGGTGAGGTTCATTATCACTTGCTTAATGTCATCAACTCCGATTTCCTTATTACATTTCACCAGCATTATTTTAATTCCACTGTCCCCACTTTCTAGACAATGAGAGTCCGGAAAGTGCTTTTAATTCAAATGAAATCGAGACAGCAGTTGATCCACTATGTGGTAAATTTTTTTACTACTGATTACTTATTGTCACAAATGTCTTTATTTGTTGGATATGTCAAGTTTTATCACAGTTGCTGTGATTTATAGAACTGTTGGAGCTACTAATATTCACACAAGAATTGAATCTTGCACCATCTGACTCAGTCTATCATCCTCGACTTGGCATCGTGACTGTAGAGGAATGCATTCAAACAATTATTGAATACTTACGATCTCATATTGTTAGCACAGATGAACTAAATGCACTTGGTTTTGAAACTCTTCTGAGGGATAATCTCGGTGATCCCCTGATACGTAACGATCTTGACTGTTATCTGCAGGTAGGATCGCTATTCCACTCCCAACTTCACCTCTTTGATGTGCCATTGTGTAGGATTTAGAAGGACATTTGGAGCAAGACAATCGGTACATAAACGCATACAATCCTAACTTTCTTTGTCGATGCGGTATTACTTCTGAAATTCGGAATTGTGTCGTTCAGTGGATGGTTCAGGTAAAGGTGGTGCATTAATATAAGAAACTTTTACTTTCAGTTGCACTTGTGGTTACGCATTCCAACGCAAACATTACATGTAGCTGTAGGTCTGATGGATTTGTACACTTGGCTTCAACCCATTCTTCGATCGGACTATCAGTTATTGGCCCTGGCAGCAATCAGACTTGCTTCTCATGTTGAATTTCCTGAAATTTCAATAAGCACTAGGAAGCTATGCAGGGCTGTCAAAGGTGCCTACACACCGACTCAGGTTCGTGTTCTCTAATGTCATCGTTTGTAGATCGATAGAATGGTGGAAACGATACATTTGTACACTGGAAACATCATTATTTTTCCTACTCCACACACCTTCCTCGAGAGTTATATAATCGGTTTCAGCGATTTCTCTCCCTCTAGGCTGGAATGGGTAGATACAGTTTTTTTTTCTCTACAAGATCTAGTGTCTACATGTACTACAAACGCCTTTATGTGCCTTAAGGCTAAGAAAGTTTGCAAGTACTTCTTCGATTTGGGTCTGTGTCAAGACAAATTGTGCAAATATTCTGCAAGCTTGCGATGTGCCGGTGTGCTCTACCTCATTCGTCGTATGCAAAATGTAGTCTATACACCTGACTATGGACGTGGTACTTGCCGCATCTCTGCATGGTCAGCCACCATGGAGAAGTTTACTGGTCACAGAGAGACCAAGCACCTCAGAGCTGTTGCCAAGTTATATGGCCAAATACACGTCGAGATTGGGGAATATTCAATTCCATTTTACTTGAGGCACCATACGAATATACCGCACATGGTGTGTTGAATGTACCTCTTTAATGCTAAATGTCACTCGCATTTGGGGATGAATTTTTTGCTTACGCCCTTTTTTGTATTTCTTTTGTACGTAGGCAGTGTTTAACAAGTACTTGAGGAAAGAATACGGTAGAATTGCAATGGACAGAACAATAAATTCAATGACTTATGCCTTCTTGAATAGAATCATTTCTGAGTAGCAAGACACATTGCTACTGTTGATGAAAAAACCCGTTGGCATGCAATCACATACATCACTTACTTTGTGCTTCATTTAACTTGGTTTCTTATTGACTCCTCATACTCGTATGTTGATTTCTTTTTTTTAAATTTCTGACAAAAGTTGGGTCAACTTTAGGTTCACTGAGACCCTTTACGAAATCACAGATTTGGGTTCATGGGAGTGTGGCAACCATGGAGACGCCATAGAGACTGTCCGAAGTTTCAATTAGTGTAAAGTGCTTGCTTTACGATATGCGTGACATGCGCTTCCGGTATTCCCTAGGCATTAGGCGGAGGTTATGTGGGCTTCCTTTTAGTCGGCTAATGGGGGTGGAGGGAAGGGGTTTTGCCGTCCCCTTCCTCGGCTCACTGACGTGCCAGTGGGGTGATGTTAGTTTATTAGCCAAAGTGCGCTCAGTGTGAACACATCTGAACACATGAAGGTAGACCTGAAGTGTGGACGGCCAGGTGATTGTGCACGTCGACAATTAGAGCAGTTTGCTGCACCGAATAAATGTTTGCATCAGGTTTAAAAGGATGACAAATAGGCGAGACCTCTTACATGATGTCAGTGTCAGATTAATGCTAAGGGTACACGCTCAACAGGCACCAAAAAAAAAGAAAAAACCACGGCCCAATTTTCTTGCCTTATTTAAAAGAAAAGTTAAGAAATCGACATCTACCTCTGACAAATGAGCATCGGTAAAAAGGTTTCCGTAATTTTTTAGTAAATATCGACAAAAAGCGTAAACTTGTTCGGCATCCAAAAACCGAAAACTCCCAAGAAAACTGTCGAGGACATAAGGCTGCGTCAGTGCTAACCATATAAACAAATAAAAAAATATAATCTTCTAGGTTCGAAAAATCTGCCGTTTGCCACGATGGACGTCCACCCATGCAGCTCTCTCTACCTGGACTGCGAATCCGATCGAACATGTCCAAAAATTACTGATCATCTTTTCCTCCAGTTGGTGGTGCCGAGGCACTCAGAGGTCATTCGTACCTGCCGTCGTCCTCTCTAGATGACTTAATATGGCTTGAACCCAGCCTCTTTCATCTCTCGCGACGATTGCACTGATCACTACATTTATCTTGTGTGAGAACCGTGTTAAGGATGTCATCTTCGCGCACATCGCAGTCCGTATCCATCCATGTGATTTCTGCTGAGCATTAACAACTTCTCCTTAGACGATCAAGGTGGATGCCTAGGGTAGACGCCACGCCAAACTCTTCTGCTACTCGTCTTCAGATTCCTCTGTCTGCAGCATAAGACCCTCAATCACCGCTTTGAGCACTTATGCTTCTGATGTCGCTAAGCCAGGGCACCTAGAGCTTCCCAAAGGTGAAAAAAATACATAAAGTGGATAGAAGTCATAATTCTCACCTGTAGAGGAATCGAAGCTACTGCCAAAGCAAATGAGTTTCCATGGAGCGCTTAAGTGTCTCCCTCACGGAAGTCGAAAGTTACACGAACAACTAACGTATTGTAGTCACTCACATTAAATAGCAGCCTTTGAAGGTATGCAATTTTCCATGTGTTTTATGGCATTTTAATATACTCCCATCGATTTGATTATTAAAATGGCCATGTAAAAAGGGAAAGGTGTTGCTGCCCAAAGTCGATTTCCACAAGTTCACAATCAGTGACTTAGTGGAGCTGAAGGGCCTCTTAAATTTGGCAAGAAAAAATCGCAAGCAGTGAGAGAATCGGCTAGCGCTACCAGTTAGTAAATAAGAGAAAAAATAAATTCTTTTTTGCAACTCTTAAATTCGAGCCTTTTGATAATTTGCAGATTTTGGGAGTCAATATCTCTTCTCACCCTCACCTAATTGTATCCGCTTTTTGTTAATACCACTGTAGCGTCCCGAGACTTCCCATAAGAAAGAAGAAGGCAGTAGTAGAGCTGAATGCAAGCATTTCAGGAGAAACGAAGGGATTAAGCCCGAGCTAGCCCCGAAGGCCAGTCTACAAGCCCAAAGGCCAGACAAAATCTCAAAGTAACCGCCAAACAAGGTGCTACCCTGCCCCTCTCTTCTTTTGAGCGCCGAAGACGGCGCTCCTTTTAGTGCACCTCGAGCGTTAGCCATCACAACATATTTGGTACTACAAGAAAGCACCCACGAACAAGCAACGCCAGTCAGCAGCTACCATGGGACTGAGGTAGAGCACTTAGTCCCCTTAACAGCTTCAGCTGCATCTGGAGTTACGCATGGTCTGACAGCCAGATTCGAGACCGCATACATCGATTGGCCATCATTTGTATGCAGGATTAGAGAGTGTAACTCTGACCGAAAACAGATGTGTTACAGAGAGAACGGATTAAGGCACAGGTCTACCCATAAGGTGGGCCATAATGTTGTTCCCGATGTCTATGCACGGGTGTAGTAGGGGAAGTTCCGACGCGATATTTGTCCAGGTGGTTTACGGTGGTGTCTCTTCAATTTTTGGAATACGGGACAAGATGAGGCCAATGCAAATGTCATTCTCAACCCTTTTGTAGTGAAGGCTTCAGAGCTTCTCCCACCACTGATGTAAATGTGCCTCTTCCATACCGTAGGTACATGCTAAGATAGTGTAGCGTTCCGAGACTTCCCACTGGGTAGAAGAAAGCAATAAAGGAAGCTGAATACACACATTCGAGCAAAAAAATGGAGGACGTAGGTCTGAACATGGTCCGAAGGCCAGCTTACGCTGTTAAAGTAACCCCCAGCCATCAGGTAGTCATATAAACAAAGAATTGCAACCACTTTTTACCTCCATTGTCTGTCAAAAAGATCGATTTGATCGGCTGAATGTGAAGCTTCCATCTATAGTGATAAAAGTGTAGGTTGTGGAATAAAAACTTACAATTTGGCTTTTCAAAACTGATTTGACAGGGTCCTATTTTATTGCTAAAAAGCAGATGAATAATTTGCATTGCGCATAGATTAGGCGTCTTTAGTCCTTCAGCGAACCCTATTATCACGGCGTTCACCATCGCCCTCACTTAACATTACTGCACTGTTAGTTTAAAATGGTATACTTGATTGGAAGACCGATGGTTTGCCATCTGACAGCAAATGACAACACTTTAAGCTCACCATGACGGCAATGATGCGACGTGTTGCGGCTCCCCTCCCAACCGCAAAAGACCAATAGCGTTGGTGATCCGCTTTCTTGCTAGCTTTTATCCAATCAAATTCCGAGGAGATAGCAGCTCAAATGCCCTTTTAGTGTTCTTAGTCGAGCATTTTAGGCTTGATTTTCTAATACTCAACTTTTCGAGCCACTAACAAAACAAGCTTCACATATGGTGACAAATTATTCTAACCATATTTCGTAGTCCTCCCCTATCAACTCTCTTAGAGCGGCTGCATGGACGCGGGTAGAAGCAAATCATTTTCCTTTTCTAATACTCCCTTATTCTTATTGTATTCTTTATATTAAGTAAAACGTGGCAAAGTAACCGAGTGTCTTAAAATCAGTCTTTTTGAATGGGAGGAACGACCTTCATGTCCGTCTGAAAATTAATGCATCTCATGCTCCATTGGCCCCTTCTAATGGGCCTGTCCTTGATCTCGTAGAACCACCAAGGTGAACACAAGAGCTGCATTTATGTACAACAGTAGAAGGTCTCTGAATTCATGACAAAGCTACTCTACAATTGGGAGATAATTTCTGTGAGTCAACTGATTAGTTGGATGAATTTTTACAGAACTGCAGAAAGGATGGATCCCTCGTTTAAAAAAGAATTCCCAAACCTCGGACATGTGTACAGCATCGGTTTTTTGTAAAACAAACCATCTCTGTGTAGTAACAACTAAAACATCTTTCCCATGGGTGAAAATACAGTCGTGCCACCAGGAGCCCACCAAATATTTCAATAGTCGAGAGAGTGAGTGACTCAAAATGTTGTCGGAGAACAAAATAATACAGGAGAAGAAGTTGAAGTCCTTTCCTTCAAACGCAATGAGATGCTCCATTTTCACGAAGGTGAAGAATGGATGAATGGATGTCTCCACCACCAGCATGTTTGGTTTCATTCAAGTTCACGAATTTCGGACAAATCCTCAATCCTCATTCGACAGAGTATTGGATCCAGTGCAATGCTTTCATAGTCGGGCCTAATGTACTTGTTGAAGGTGCACTATACACATAAAAATAATATACTATATTACAAAATATTATGGCTTTGATACTACATTGCCTTAAAGTTTTTAAAATCACAGCCCCTTGTTAGAGTGGCTACAAATGTAGTGCAAAGTTTGGATTACTTTTTAGAACAAGTTTACCCATCATACCGAATTTTCCGTATCACGATGATTTTCCAAGTAAAATGGAACACACACATCTACAACTCTGAAAAGAATTAATGCGTAGTACATAGCAGCGTCTCGTAAAACCTCATTGTCCACACAGGTGGTAAGGTTCACCATTTCCGGTGGCCACATGGGGATGTTCTCATAGGGACACAAATCTCCTACACCCGAATCCGAGTCCGAACAATTACAATACCGCCTCAGAAGGAAACGAAGAAGTAAAAGCACGGCACAGCAACGAACACTTGCAGAAAAGGAATAAAGGGGATCCATATTTAGGCCCAAATCAAAAAGGTAATCGGAAGCCAATCTAGCCTACAGATCAAAAAAAAAGAAACAAATGTGGGTAATATGGAAAGCCTTTTTTTTGTGAATAAAGCAAATGGGTGAACTCATTATTACCCATCTCCTCCTATCCCTGGAAAAATCAGTTAGACCATGTATGAATATATCGAGGAATCGGTGAGGAGTTGGAAAATTGATGCCATTACCAATTTCGTCTCTCAACGTTGTCTCCATTTTCCATATCTAAATAATTTTTTTTAAAGTAGAGTACATCAAGTTGAGGTTATGCTTTAAGTGCAAATTGGTGTGAGAAAGCTGACCTGATGCTGAGTCCATTGATACTGTGAAATACGAGAAAAGAGGTAATAATTGGGTCGGAAATCAGAATTTCTAGCTCGAGACGCTAGAGCTAGAGCCGCTGAAGCCAGAAGTTGGTATTCTTGAATTAGTATGGGATGAAGCATAGCGTAGAGGTCCATAAGTTCTACGGCTACATGCAAAGTTCGCGTTGGAATTTGAAAATACCAATGCACCTTGCAAATAAAAGTTACAAATCCAGTATAATATTAACAATCACATCATTAATACTGCATCTTCATTACAACTATACCGTTTTCAGCCATTCAATAACTGCATAACGCACATTGGCATTGATGTTGTTTCGTTGGAGGAAGTCGGGTTGCATGCTGTGCATATATTGTATATCAAGGGACAATTCCCAAGCCAAAATCTATGGAAAAATAAAGTATTGCATCATTATTTCACTTTGGTTGTGCTTGAAAATGCTGTCATAGGCAGTGACAAGATCACTTACCATTAGAAAAAATATGGCATCTATTCGAGTGATTGTTGTAAGGTCGATGTGAATTGAACTATTCATTTGTGCAGCCATAGCGAGGGCAAATAATGAGTTCTCAGTGACATATTTAATAATGGCTTTCAATTTGGATTTTTTAAAGTATTCAATTGAATATTCGGGATTGGCAAAATAAGGATCACTTGCATCCTCAACTTCAATAGCTTGTCCAAACCATTCTAGGAAAGGAAGAATATGAAAACTTATCCACAAGTACTCCAATTATGGCAACATCCTATGATTACAAAACAGGTGGAGGCATTAAGCAGTATTTACGAGATAAAAAAACAACATATTACAGAGATGATGAAGAAAGCAAAATACCTCGTAGCCGTTGAATTTGTTGTGGGGTAAAATCTGAAAGCAGATTATGGCATTGAAAACGACATTAGCATGGCAAGAGCCAGAGAGAAAAAACATAAAATTGAGAGAACTCTTTAAAGATATGAACTAGTTACCATGGTCTGGAAGTGAACCACTTTGAAGCGCTTGTTGCTGTTGTTGGGATGCTTCAGTGTTCACAATTAAAGGGTCCATATTTATCTGGGAAAGAGCCAATTGTTAGCACAAAAATTGAAGACAATGAAGTAAGTAAGTCATTGATTTTGATTGAACAGTGAAAAAATAATAAACAAACAGGAGAGAGTATTGTAAAATGCCACATTTATTTACAACTTCTGGAAGCACTTGAGACGATTTCCACAAGAAGTACAAGAGGATGATGCATTCATATAACAATGTACATTTTAGTGGAGGCGAAATCTTCAAAGGTTTATCAAACCCGTCAATTTTGTCTTCATCTCCACTTTCATTGTTTTGTACATTTTTGACTGGGGTATAGTGAAGTCGTCTGTTACTTTTCCACCTGCCTTAAGTGAATTTTAGCCCACACGAGTGCGCAGACAGGCTGTCAACTTAATTGATCCGTCAATATTTCAAATTACTTCTGATCGATAAGCTATACAATGTTTGTAACCTAATTATGGCATATGCAAACAGTCACTTTGTGCCTCTTTGCTTTGCTGCTCCACTACTACTACTACTACCACTACCAAACCATGTCTGTTGTTGTTGTTGCACATTCCTCTCGCTTTGTTGCAGCGGAGGCATCACTGCGCTCTCGAGTGGTGGATTGGCAGTGAGAAATAGGATGGAATGTGCTGTGACGCAAATTCTTCTGATGC